TATCGGCATTATTACAGTACATCATCTCCCTTGATTGTTATCGGCATTATTACAGTACATCACGTCAGCCAGGAGTGTTATCGGCATTATTACGGTACATCACGTCTCCTTGAGTGTTATCGGCATTATTACGGTACATCACGTCTCCTTGAGGGTGTTATCGGCATTATTACATACATCACGTCTCCTTGAGTGTTATCGGCATTATTACAGTACATCACGTCTCAGCGAGTGTTATCGGCATTATTACGGTACATCACGTCTCCTTGAGTGTTATCGGCATTATTACAGTACATCACGTCTCCCTTGAGTGTTATCGGCATTATTACAGTACATCACGTCTCCCTTGAATGTTATCGGCATTATTACATCATCAAGTCTCCCTTGAGTGTTATCGGCATTATTACACATCACGTCTCCCTTGAGTGTTATCGGCATTATTACAGTGCATCACGTCTCCTTGGGTGTTATCAGGTGTTATCGGCATTATTACAGTGTCATCGTCTCCCTGAGAGTGTTATCGGCATTATGTTACAGTACATCACGTCTCTCTTTAGTGTTATCGAGCATTATTACAATGTTACATCACGTCTCCCTTGAGTGTTATCGGCATTATTACGCAGTACATCACCTCTCTCTTAGGTGTTATCGGCATTATTACAGTTATCGGCACATCATCCTCTCCTTGAGTGTTATCGGCAATTATTACAGTGCATCACGTCTCTCTTGAGTGTTATCGGCATTATTACAATACATCACGTCTCCCTTTGAGTGTTATCGGCATTATTACAGTACATCACGTCTCCTTGAGGTGTTATCGGCATTATTACAGTACATCGTCGTCTCTTTGAGTGTTATCGGCATTATTACATCATCGTCTCCTTTGAGTGTTATCGGCATTATTACAGTACATCACGTCTCCTTTGAGTGTTATCGGCATTATTACATACATCACGTCTCCTTGAGGTGTTATCGGCATTATTACAGTACATCACGTCTCTCTTGAGTGTTATCGGCATTATTACACATCAACGCGTCTCCTTTGAGTGTTATCGGCATTATTACAGTACATCACGTCTCCTTGAGTGTTATCGACATTATTACAGTACATCACGTCTCCTTGAGTGTTATCGGCATTATTACGGTACATCACGTCTCCTTGAGTGTTATCGGCATTATTACATATCACGTCACCTTGTGTTATCGGTTTACCAGTACATCACGTCTCGGCAGTGTTATCGGCGTATTATTCATCACGTCTTCACGGCGGTGTTATCGGCAGATGTTACAGTACATCACGTCTCCTTGAGGTGTTATCGGCATTGTTACAGTACATCACGTCTCCTTGGAGTGTTATCGGCATTATTACAGTACATCACGTCTCCTTGAGTGTTATCGGCATTATTACAGTACATCACGTCTCCTTGAGTGTTATCGGCATTATCGGCACGTTCATTACAGTGTTATCACGTATTACAGTACATCACGTCTCCCTTGAGTGTTATCGGCATTATTACAGTACATCACGTCTCCCTTGAGTGTTATCGGCATTATTACAGTCATCACGTCTCCCTTGAGGTGTTATCGGCATTATTACACATCACGTCTCCTTTGGGTGTTATCGACATTATTACAGTCATCGTCTCCTTGAGTGTTATCGGCATTATTACAGTACATCACGTCTCCCTTGAGTGTTATCGGCATTATTACACGTCTCCATCGTCTCCCTTGAGTGTTATCGGCATTATTACAGTATTACATCACGTCTCCTTTGAGTGTTATCGGCATTATTACACCTTGAGTGTTATCGGCATTATTACACATCACGTCTCCCTTGAGTGTTATCGGCATTATTACACATCACGTCTCCTTTGAGTGTTATCGACAATATTACTGTGTCTCACGTCTCCCTTGAGTGTTATCGGCATTATTACAGTACATCACGTCTCCCTTGAGTGTTATCGGCATTATTACAGTACATCACGTCTCCTTGGAATGTTATCGGCATTATTACACATCAAGTCTCACTTGAGTGTTATCGGCATTATTACATATCACGTCTCCCTTGAGTGTTATCTGCATTATTACAGTACATCACGTCTCCCTTGATTGTTATCGGCAATGTTACAGTACATCACGTCTCTCTTGAGTGTTATCGGCATTATTACAGTACATCACGTCTCCCTTGAGTGTTATCGGCATTAATACAGTACATCACGTCTTCCTTGAGTGTTATCGGCAATATTACAGTACATCACGTCTCTCTTGAGTGTTATCGGCATTATTACACATCAAGTCTCACTTGAGTGTTATCGGCATTATTACATATCGTCTCCCTTGGAGTGTTATCTGCATTATTACAGGCTACATCACGTCTCCTTGAATTGTTATCGGCATTATTACAGTACATCGTCCTCCTTGAGTGTTATCGGCATTATTACATATCACGTCTCCTTTGAGTGTTATCGACAATATTACGGTACATCACGTCTCCTTGAGTGTTATCGACATTATTACAGTACATCACGTCTCCTTGAATGTTATCGGCATTATTACACATCAAGCTTCTCCTTGAGTGTTATCGGCATTATTACACATCACGTCTCCTTTGAGTGTTATCGACAATATTACTGTGTCTCACGTCTCCCTTGAGTGTTATCGACATTATTACAGTACATCACGTCTCCCTTGAGTGTTATCGGCATTATTACAGTACATCACGTCTCCTTGAATGTTATCGGCATTATTACACATCAAGTCTCCCTTGAGTGTTATCGGCATTATTACATATCACGTCTCCCTTGAGTGTTATCGGCATTATTACAGTATCACGTCTCCTTGAGGTGTTATCGGCAATGTTACAGTACATCACGTCTCTCTACATCCGTCTCCTGTTTATCGGCATTATTACAGTACATCACGTCTCCCTTGAGTGTTATCGGCAATGTTACAGTACATCACGTCTCTCTTGAGTGTTATCGGCATTATTACAGTACATCACGTCTCCCTTGAGTGTTATCGGCATTAATACAGTACATCACGTCTTCCTTGAGTGTTATCGGCAATATTACAGTACATCACGTCTCCCTTGAGTGTTATCGGCATTATTACACATCAAGTCTCACTTGAGTGTTATCGGCATTATTACATATCACGTCTCCCTTGAGTGTTATCTGCATTATTACAGAACATCACGTCTCCCTTGAGTGTTATCAGCATTATTACAGTACATCACCTGTCCCTTGAGTGTTATCAGCATTATTACAGTACATCACGTCTGCCTTGAGTGTTATCGGCATTATTACACATTACGTTTGGTTTTACGCCGCTTTTAGCAATATTCCAGGAACATCGCGGCGGGGGACACCAGAAATGGGCTTCAACGTCTCCATAGGGTGTTATCGGCAATGTTACAGTACATCGCGTCCCTCCTGAGTGTTATCGGCAATGTTACAGTACATCACGTCTCTCTTTAGTGTTATCGGCAATGTTACAGTACATCACGTCTCTCTTTAGTGTTATCGGCAATGTTACAGTACATCACCTCTCCCTTGAGTGTTATCGGCAATGTTACAGTACATTACCTCTCCCTTGAGTGTTATCGGCAATGTTACAGTACATCACGTCTCTCTTGGGTGTTATCGGCAATGTTACAATACATCACGTCTCTCTTGAGTGTTATCGGCATTATTACACATTACGTTTGGTTTTACGCCGCTTTTAGCAATATTCCAGCAACATCACGGCGGGGGACACCAGAAATGGGCTTCAACGTCTCCATAGGGTGTTATCGGCAATGTTACAGTACATCACGTCCCTCCTGAGTGTTATCGGCAATGTTACAGTACATCACGTCTCTCTTGAGTGTTATCGGCAATGTTACAGTACATCACGTCTCCCTTGAGTGTTATCGGCAATGTTACAGTACATCACCTCTCCCTTGAGTGTTATCGGCAATGTTACAGTACATCACGTCTCTCTTGGGTGTTATCGGCAATGTTACAATACATCACGTCTCTCTTGAGTGTTATCGGCAATGTTACAGTACATCACGTCCCTCTTGAGTGCTATCGGCAATTTTACATGTACAGTACATCACGTCTCTCTTGAGTGTTATCAGCATTATTACAGTACATCACGTCTGCCTTGAGTGGTATCGGCATTATTACACATTACGTTTGGTTTTACGCCGCTTTTAGCAATATTCCAGCAACATCACGGCGGGGGACACCAGAAATGGGCTTCAACGTCTCCATAGGGTGTTATCGGCAATGTTACAGTACATCACGTCCCTCCTGAGTGTTATCGGCAATGTTACAGTACATCACGTCTCTCTTTAGTGTTATCGGCAATGTTACAGTACATCACGTCTCTCTTGAGTGTTATCAGCATTATTACAGTACATCACGTCTGCCTTGAGTGTTATCGGCATTATTACACATTACGTTTGGTTTTACGCCGCTTTTAGCAATATTCCAGCAACATCACGGCGGGGGACACCAGAAATGGGCTTCAACGTCTCCATAGGGTGTTATCGGCAATGTTACAGTACATCACGTCCCTCCTGAGTGTTATCGGCAATGTTACAGTACATCACGTCTCCCTTGAGTGTTATCGGCAATGTTACAGTACATCACCTCTCCCTTGAGTGTTATCGGCAATGTTACAGTACATCACGTCTCTCTTGGGTGTTATCGGCAATGTTACAATACATCACGTCTCTCTTGAGTGTTATCGGCAATGTTACAGTACATCACGTCCCTCTTTAGTGCTATCGGCAATTTTACATGTACAGTACATCACGTCTCTCTTGAGTGTTATCGGCAATGTTACAGTACATCACGTCTCTCTTGAGTGTTATTGGCAATACGACATATCACATCGACCTTCGGTGCAAACGACAACATCCAATTATGTTATGCCATACTGCCGATGTACGACAATAAGGTACGGTTTCTGCAAATTGGGAAACATGAGGGTAAGAGAAGAAAATACGATACCTCTCGAGACTTAGTCCGGTCAAGTTAGCCACTGAGCAAATTATGACGACGTTCTGGAGATAATGGACACCTTTACACAGGAACTCGCCAAATGTCCACGTGAATGTGAAGAACTTGGCAATCTGTAAAACAAAGGTACAAATGAAACAGTAATAAAATGCAAAGAACAAGGAAGTGTTATCTACAATCGTGTTGCAATTTTGTTACCCGACACTAATTTCTACAAAGGCTATGTCTTACATGTTATTTTCCATGACAGATAATCAAAAATGTCATTAAATATTTAAGAAGCTTAGACCCTTTTCCGATTCACATAAGCTGTAATTAAGGTGACTGCATTTTACTGTCAAAAAATGACAGTACTTATACATGCACCAGTGTGTACCCGAAAAGTGATGTCTACCTGAAATAGTGCCAAGCCATCCGTTAGAGGTGAGGTGAGGTGAAATTGGGTTTTACGTCGTGCTTGAGAATATTTCGCTCATATGACGACTTGCATGCGTGTGTATGTGCGGCTGCTTGTACTAGCCCAGACTGAAGCTGGTTTTATAGTGCTAGCCCACTGAGATACCATGCCGCAGTGAAGCATGAATACCCCACTCAGACACATTATACTGACTCCGAGTCGACCAGTCCTTGATGTACCCATTAATGCCGAGCGCCAGGCAGGGACCAACAAGTACCATATTTTAACGTCTTTTGGAATGACGCGGTCGGGGATCTAACCCGCGACCTTCCGCTCTCCGGGCGGACGCTCTAACCACTACACCACGGAGGCGGTCCCATCCGTTAGAGGCCAGGTGACATATATTTGAGAGACCCAGTTATGTGGTACCAGTGTGTTGCAATTGGCCCGGTTTGGGGTTCAACAAGAACGGTGGAAGATATGTCCAGGTAATGGAGGTACCATGTCCCACTCTGACACATATCGCCATCACTGATGCCTCTACTAATCTGACATATTCTTGATAACAACACCTGGTACCGCATAGGTTACTGACTCTCAGATACAGGAGTCTTCTATCAGCAAATGCAAGTGGTTATACTTGCAGCCAAAACATTTGACGAGGCGAGATGAGGATTCCGAGTGTGAACTAGTTCACAGCGACCACATGGACCCTGTTCACACTTTGGAGGATGGTTGCATGCCTGTCGTAGAACCAGCCCGTGGGGATGGCTGCATGCCTGTCGTAGTACCAGCCCGGGGGGTTGGCTGCATGCCTGTCGTAGTACCAGCCCGGGGGGATGGCTGCATCCCTGTCGTAGTACCAGCCCGGGCAGATGGCTGCATCCCTGTCGTAGTACCAGCCCGGGCAGATGGCTGCATGCCTGTCGTAGTACCAGCCCGGGGATATGGCTGCATCCCTGTCGTAGTACCAGCCCGGGGAGATGGCTGCATGCCTGTCATAGTACCAGCCCGGGGAGATGGCTGCATGCCTGTCGTAGTACCAGCCCGGGGAGATGGCTGCATGCCTGTCGTAGTACCAGCCCGGGGAGATGGCTGCATGCCTGTCGTAGTACCAGCCCGGGGAGATGGCTGCATGCCTGTCGTAGTATCAGCCCGGGGAGATGGCTGCATGCCTGTCGTAGTACCAGCCCGGGGAGATGGCTGCATGCCTGTCGTAGTACCAGCCCGGGGAGATGGCTGCATGCCTGTCGTAGTACCAGCCCGGGGAGATGGCTGCATGCCTGTCGTAGTACCAGCCCGGGGAGATGGCTGCATCCCTGTCGTAGTACCAGCCCGGGGAGATGGCCATGCCTGTCGTAGGGGGAGATGGCTGCATGCCTGTCGTAGTACCAGCCCGGGAGATGGTCGATGCCCGGGAGATGCTGCATGCCTGTCGTAGTACCAGCCCGGGGAGATGGCTGCATGCCTGTCGTAGTACGATCCCGGGGAGATGGCTGCATCCCTGTCATAGTACCAGCCCGGGGGGATGGCTGCATGCCTGGCCCAGACCTTCCAGGTGGCCACCATATGGTTGGAACAACGTTGGCTGTGTTGTTGAAGACAGACAGTCATCTTACAGTCTTCCTGGGTCATGTCAATAATCGATGTAGAAAACTGACATGTTTACATGATACACGACAAGCTCAATCTCAAGAAGACAGGGGATGACGGTTCAGAAGGATCAAGGCATCCGTGACGCCGTCAGCGAGATGAACACCATGATAACCCTTTTTAGCGTCAACGTCGAGTATCCTTCATTGTTGATAAAATAAACGTGAGCCTAAAAGTTCACATTGCTACGGCATTTCAAATGTCTGATCTAACCTTTTATTGCATGATGAATTTTTAAAATGGGGATGGTTTTCAAAGTAATGCGGTACACAGATACCAATGAAAACAGTTTTTAAATCACTTTCATCACGCTATTAAAATCCATGAAACTTATGCAATCAGCATTAAGTAAGAATCAGTAACAATGTAAAATGAATTGCCAATACATCACTAAGCCAATAAGCCACATACTGCTGTTTGTTATATCGTTGATTAAGTACTTGTCTCATAGAAGATGTTATTTGCTTACTGGAAATGCAATAGTAGGCAGAAAAAAAGAAAATGAATAATATCCGTCTGTCGGTTAAAAACAACGAGCCAGGAAAAAGAAACCAAAGAAATATTGTAATCAAATATTCTATCTCAAAGTCAGCTCACAGTGTGTGATATATCATAACAATGTGCTGCATGAACCAACAGTAGGGTTATACGAAGTCCTGGAAGGTGCCACGTGAAGAAGCCGTGTGACTGTGTAGGCGCTGATGTTGTCATCATACACCAAGCTCCTCCACACCTCTGACACTGCGGCGAGTCAGTATCGATAAGCAGTTAATCATCATTTAATAGGTGGATGGTTGTGTTAGCTATCTCTTGATCACTCTCTATGCGGCAGTCGTCGAAAGTTTTGACGTTTAACACAGGGAAAAACACAAATTGTGCCTGAAGATGCTCAGCTGGCATTGGGTGGCCTCAATTATTCTTGTTCCTCTGGAAAATAACCAGAGTTAACTAGGCGAAAGTAGCATTCTATTTTGGACACTGTTGGCAAATCTAATATTCTGTGTGTAAAATAATGTTGTAGAATACAATGCTTTGAAACACGTAAGAGGAACACATCCAAACTGTTAAATCACCTCTGATTAGTTGTGAACATAGGCGTGACAAGACATGTTTTGTCAGGTGTGCTTTGAAGAAAAGAAGTTTTGCTTAAAGTTATATACCAACATATAGTGGAAAGGATTTTTATCCGACGGACTCAAATTCGAATCTGTGAAGTCTCACTCAGGTTTACCTTTTCCATATCCAGGTTAATACACACCACACGTATTCAATAATAATTTCTATACTGACAATAATACTGAAATATAGAAATTTCGAGTCACCTGTAATCAGTGACTACTTCCTGTAAAGCTGCACATTGAACCTAACTAAATGGTGTAATCAGCAATGACTAATGGCCGTTCAACGTCAGTAAATGCTATATGTGAGTCATGTCACACATCTACAGTGGTTTTGTTGTGGCCATTATAGTGTGACTTTATGTGATTATGTGTGAGCATAACTACAGAGTGCTTTGGGCTTTGTCATATATAACAAATAAAGGTGAGTTTCTTTGCTCGCAATGTGCCATGCTGTTAAGTATAATAGTCAGTGGCATAGTTTGAAGATTGCTCGAAACATCACTCAACACACAGATATGAAATTTATGAAAGCTTGAAACATTTCTTAAATTATGAAACTCGGTTGACCACAGAGGGTGCTCAGGTTACTGTGGCCTTTCAAAAACTGAGACAGTAGACAGCTGTCACCAGCACGTGGAATCTCGCTTTCAATCTCTTTACTAAGGTATCTTTTACATAAATATTATATATCTGTGTAATTAAGAATAACGTTTAATTTGAAATCCTGTTAAGGGTGTGAGTAAAACGTCCTGCAAACAGTGTCAGCAGCAGCAGCAGCAGCAGAGCAGGAGCCATATCTGTATATGATCTCTGATGTGAGGGATATGAACCTTTAACGCCTTCAACAAGCCCAGTCTCCCACGTCATGTGACACTTGGACAGATGGTGGAAGTACTTCAGCTACAACATGTTGATTTAACCTGTTAGCTGCTCCACTCTCGCTCTAATAATCCTTCGTAACAAGACTGTTTGGTCATGCGAGTAGTTATCGCAAGAACTTATTGAGTTTTCAAAGATAGTTTTTCCTAAACAACTCTATTCAATGATATTTGACAGTTGTTCGAGTGATTTCATTTGTTACCGTTCCCCCTCAAATCGTGTATCTGTTAAATACGTGACGTCAGAGCGGATGATAACATTCCTCAATGGCACAATTGTCCGTCGAAGTCTGAAGGTATTGCTTCCATTTCATGATGACTAACGAATCGTCCATATTAACAATTCAGGTGTCTCAATACAATCATTCTTCGGACTATGGTTACCTTGAAGCAAGAAGCAGCTCAAATAGCAATGACAAAAGCCAACCCTAAAACAAGTCAAACTGTCAGCTTGAATTCAACTTCATCTGAATTATATATAATGGGTCGTGTACGTTGTAAATCGTTTAAGGGATCATTGTTCAAATTAAATTTCTAAAGTTTTTAAGCTATATTCGAAGTTTTCGGACGAAACGAATATGATCCTTCTGAGTGGTCACCTTTCCCATAAAGGATGTTCATTTGACACATTGACTTCTTCCAGGGTGAAACTGCCAACGCCTTAACACGCTGGTTATATTGCAATGTACATATTTTGCACATCCTCAGAGAGACTATATCTTTTTGTTACGCGAGTTACATGAGTGATTTGTATTTTGTTGAAGGCAACTCTTAACCGCTAATCGACACAAATCCGACACAAGTACATTGTGTTATTGTTATGATGAAGTCCTTTTCAATAAACTGCGTAGTTCCTTTGTTAATACAACTTACAAATTGTTCAAATGTATATCAGTCTGTGTTCGGTAAAACGGATCTGTTACTTGATAAGTGCACCTTCCTCGAGCTTGTGAAATGTTCCGAAAGGCCACGCACCACAGTTTATTTCACTGAATTGTCAAAACGAAGCAATTTGCTAAATTGGTGCAGGCGTTTGTACATATACCTCTACAACAATGTTTTTT